AATATATCAAGCTTTTTTTAAAAAAATCTGATGTGTCCAACACATGACTTTCCTACTGATACCAATGTCGGCGAGCGGACGTAAAAGCTATAAAGTCTGGCGACTTTATTAAGGACGCAATTAAGGACAGGTACAATCTTTAATAAGTTCTATATCATAAACGATCTGCGCATGCTCAAGTCAAAATAAGAACAGAGCTAATAGTGACTGAGCTTAAGTGAATTTGCAATATATCTTCATTGTTATTTTTACTTGAGTGTTTACTTGATTATACACAATTCGTTTTTAGAGTGGTAGCGGATGATATTATAGAAGATAGCAAAACAGTTATTTGCCATATGGCACTGTCGGTTATTGAACGATTTCCAATACGCCTTGCTAATGTCGAAGTGAAAACTACAGAGAGCATTATCGCAAGTAAGAAACGGATAATATCAACATGGTCGTTTGCCCTGATCGATATGAATAGGCATACAGCCAAGGACACCCCCATGCTGCAGGCTGGCTACATTGATATTATTCGTTTCCTGTTCGTCATTAATGCTAAAACTCTGTGGTAGTACGTATCTGGAGTATGAGTATTTATATAAATAATACTCAAAGCAAATGAGTTCTTTTGAAAATTTTAGAGAATACTGTGAATAAATTGAGTAACGAGTATGAATATTTTAAATAATTCTAGTTAGTGACTCAATGTTAGAAAGAAGGAATTCTAGTAATAAGTAAGTTAGTAAGCAACAATCAAAAACGAGAATATAACTTATCTTCTATCACTTTTGCATTTTAGTGATAAAAGTAAAGTAATAAAGGTATTGGGTAGAGGTACAGAGAATACTCAAAAGAACAGTTATATATTTTAAAACGTATATACACGCGTATATAGAGAGTGGACTAAAATGAACATACATGGATGGAAAGAGAGCAGGAAAAAATGTTATTCTTCATACAAAATTTGCTTATTCAAAATTTATAATAATCCTAATGCTTTAGTGAAATAATGACAAAAATGTAAAAAACATTGTATTTTAAAAACAATGAGTTTTAAAGTACTTAGGTAGAACCGAAATTTCTGAAAATCAACTGGATTCTAAGTTAGAAAATATTACTTCACTAAAGCTAAGAGATTCAACTTCTATTTGGATTAATATTATTTTTGATATAAAAACTTTTGAAGACTAACATTTTTTTCAAAAAGGTGAACATAAAAAAGTTTTTCCTCATCTGGATTAAAGTACTCACTGATAACAAATTTGAGGTAGAATTTACTCGAGTACTGCTCAACTCTGCCGACACTGTATGCTGCTTTCTTTGAAAATATGTTGATCTACACCGAATGAAGCAAAAATACATTTTTTCTCCGATTGACATTAAATGGTGACACTTTTTGATCATAGAAGTAAGACTTTTACTGCCTAGGCATTAAAATTTTACTTTTTCTCTTTTGAAGTCTTGCTAAAAAGTTACTGTAATAAATTACCTACAAAGTCACTATAAGTATATTTGTATAAGATCTGAAGGCATATATATTTATAAAAATAACGATTAGAATAAATATTAAAAATGCGTGAGTTGTATCTGTTATACTTAAAAAAAGTTTTCATTTTAATTCCAGTTTTTTAAACACACTGTATAAACAATCTGAGAAAAAAATATGTTTTACACGATAGAGAAACAGATTTACTGACGACTCGGCAATCTAATGCTAGCTGCGGCAGAAAATCTGTTACTTCTCTGCCTAATTAAAAAAATAATTATTTTTAAACTTTATTATTTTACATATTTTTAATGCCTTTGATAAGCTGAGTTCAACCAACTATTACATTTCACAAGGCTTCTCCACTTAGGTATGAATCACCCTGTATATAAACATAGTTTCAAAGTAAGGAACATAACGTTAACTACGTACTGGTTACGAATATTGCCAATAATATTTGCCAGAGCATTTGGACAACGTGAAGGAATAATCAGTCTTAAATTGTATTATTATAAATATATAATTTATTTTAAAGTAATTATTAACATTTGGCTTAATAATTTGTAAAACTAGTTGATAACAAAAATAATGTGTATTAATAACATTAATTTCCATGTAATTATAATGAAACATTTTGTGAGGTAAGATACAATAAATTTTTTACGAACACTATTAAAAGTAGGGTTCTATACATTCAAATCTAACTAGAAAGTTGTCGTTTTGCGCGAATTGTCATAATTTGATATTACTGTATTAAAGTAAATTTGGCACACGCTTTTCTGTTTTCATTTGAATTAAATAAAAGAAAGCTAATCGGTACCTATTTTAAAATAAAATGTAGGCTAATCTTACATATTAAATTGACTTCCTAATATTTTAAATCATCCAACAGTATTTTCCGTAAATAATTAAATAATTAAATGATTAAATTATAATTGCTGACTCTTCGAAGAGTAGGCTTATGTCAAATAAACTTGCAATATTATAACGAAAGAAGGCAACCCATTGCTAATAAAATTAAATTATATATTTTATATTGGTGTGGTCGTAGAAAAAATATTCTGTTTAATTCGAGCAGAAAGTCCTTTAGCAGTTTTGACAGATTTATTTCTTTCTGTCTCAACTGCCAAAGGGCTAATTTCTGCTCTTAATAAACAAATAGTTATTTTGTTACAATAATTTTATAAACTTATTTTACTTAGCTACTAGCGCTATATACTGATAAACTGTTACTGTCCTCATTACAAATGAATCGTACTAACAAATGAAGTCAAAAATGTCTCATAAATTTTTCATCTTCTAACAATTACCAAAATTAGGTACTACAATATAAATATTTAAGTCCGGACCAGAACATCTCCCTACTCCTTCCACCTAATTTTTCGGTTTTGGCAAAATTCGCGCAGCGGCAAATGCTTTCTATGTTACCTCTACCCTTTCTAACCTCTTTGTACGTAACACGTTACGAAATGCAGTTTTATATAACTCGTTACATAAAATAAGGCACTTCGCAACTGGTTTCATACGCGCGCGCGCGTGTGTGTGTGTGTGTGTGTGTGTGCGTGCGTGCGTGCGTGCGTGCGTGCGTGCGTGCGTGCGTGCGTGCGTGTGTGCGCGTGTGTGTGTGTGTGTGTGTGTGTGTGTGTGCGTGTGTGCGTGTGTGCGTGTGTGCGTGTGTGCGTGTGTGCGCGTGTGCGCGTGGGTGCGTGGGCGCGTGCGCGCGTGCGTGCGTGCGTGCGTGCGTGCGTGCGTGCGTGCGTGCGTGCGTGCGTGCGTGCGTGCGTGCGTGCGTGGGTGTGTGTGTGTGTGTGTAATTTTTATCCTATACATAATTTCTCTAAAATGGACCGTATTCGAGATATTTTAGAAATTTCGAAATTTGAAGAAAACTCAAAAACGGATAAAGAAAAAAACATTAAATTTTAAACTTAAGTTTTATTTCGGCCTGACGTAAAATGATTAGATTTTGGACAAAGTCGGAACATCTGGGGGGTACTTTATGGGGGGCCGTTTTTATATTTTATGGAATATATCTGTTATTTATGTTTGGAGAAAAAAATAGTTCAAATAAAAGTTATTTCTAATATTATTATCTATAATTTTTGCTTTTTGTCAAAATTTTCTGAAATGGTCCGTATTCGAGAAATTTGACAAAATGTGCCAAATTCTGATTTTTATGAAAATTGTTGAAATAAAAGTTGTTTGCGATATCGATCTCTATAATTTTTGTTTATACATGATTTTTCTAAAATGGACCGTAATGGAAAAATTGTAGGAAAAGTGCTAAATTTAAATTTTCAGTATTTTCATTTTCAATGAATATCTATAGAAAAATGTTTCGAGGTAGATGTATGTGGAAAATGTATATATTTAGTTTATCCTCTAAACATTTATGGAGGTGCTACAATAGGTTGTACAAAATAACCGGAAAAGCCTGTAATAACTAGATAGGAAAGTCCAATCAGAGGTTTTGGAAAATGAATATTTGAAAAATTGTTGGGAAAGAATTGTCGCATTTTTTATAATTTGCACTATTTGAATGAATACAAATAGTTATTTCAAATATTTTTAAAAATAAAATAATAATGTATGCTTTCGATTTGAAGAATGTGAATAAAATTCTATCTTTATGCAACCGATATTATTTTCGCCAACATTGTTAGTTGCATAACTTTCATAGACACCCCCAGCGATAACCAGCCAATGAAGTGGAGAGGGGTAGAATGATAACTGTCAATGAAAAAGTCTAGACACTATGCACAATTTCGTTTTGCACATTTTGTAAACAAGATTCAGGGACGGCTTAACAATTATAAACAATTATAAAGTAGTGCATCGGAAAATAATTAACAAGTATAATTTAATACTAAATTGAAATAAAAGCACAAAAAATCACAACAAGATAACAAAGAATTGACGCCAAAGAAGCTTACAACAGCCACAAAACAAACAAAAAACAGAGCTGAATATGAACATTATCGCTGAACAAAGCCAATCCTGGAATTTGTTTACAGTGCTTTAGGGCAACCTCTCCTTGTCATTTACATGTATAAGAGTGGAAGGTTGAATCACGCATTTCTACACTCGTGATGGATGCGCAGACGGTACCTTATCGTTCTACCCTCTCTACTTCTTTGTAACCAGCAGGTTTTGGACGAGTTGATAACCTGCAGCCTGCAGCACTTTGACGAGCTGAGAAGATGGCTGTCTGTAGACACCCCTCAGCGTCAACCAGCTGGTTTATGACGAATTGATAATCTGCAGGACTTTGATGATCTGGGAAGATGGCTGTCTCTAGACACCTCTCAGCGGCAACCAGCACGTTTTGACAAGTTGGAGGCAAGTTCTATATGCTCCTGGAGGATACACAATGGGCCTTGTGAGATCTACGTGCTGTGGAGCAACCCACCCTCCACCTTATTGTTACAGACAGTTGTTACTAGTTTTGCGCTCTCTTAGGCACTGTCACTCTGAAAAAGACCATTAAGTTAAAAAATAAAACCAAAATCTGTAAGAATAATGTATTCTTTCTTATTTATTGTTAAAAATCAATATGACTAAATTGAATAAGAGCCACAATGTATGTGCCTACATATGAAAATACGGAAAAAATTAAACCAAAATCGACAGTAAAAAATCCTCCTGCTGAAACCATAGGTGCTTTTCTGTTAATTTGTCGAGCCAAATGTAACAATTCCTGTCGTTCTTTTGAATTATGAGCTAGTCCATGTTGTAATTTACAGCACAGCTTAACCAGCATTATAGATTCTTTCTTAAAAAGACCACAAGCAGATATTATGAAAGAATTCCATGTCTGAAATACGAAAAACAGAGAATTACATTAAATACGAGTAATACAAGTTAGGCATTGTTACATGAAAAATTGTTATTTAATTCTTTTTAAATTAGTATTTTTTAACCACAATATAGTACATGGAAATCGTACCAAAAAATAAGTGTTGCCTTACATCAAATGAGGTAATTATGATTTTTTTATATGTTGGTAGTGTTGAGATGGTAATAACAAATCCAAATTTTCCACCTTGAAAGCCTTTCGGATCAATGTTAAATATTACAAAATTCTTTAAATTTTACGACTTTTTTCAGTTTTTGTCAATTTTTACCACCAAGAACCTGTGTTACGGAAAAAGTTACTATGCACACTTTTTAAGTAGAGTAAATTTTCAATGAAATGAGGATAATTTGGTTTTGGTAGGAGTGGGTTTATGGGAAAAATTATTTGTTTTAGTTATTAAAGTCCACTAAATTCTCAACAAAATGTGACCAATTATATCAGCTTACACCTAATAGTTCCTGAGATACAGCTGTTCAAAGTTGTTGAGGTAAGTATTCAATTATATAATTTGGTTTTGGTAGGCCAGATAGTTTGCAAAATTTAAAAAAAAAAGGAAGTAATACAATTTTTTTTTAGTTGTCTGATAAATTTTTGCTGAAAGTGTGTTTTGTTTTTACTTTCATGTATAATATAACATATATTAAATATTATAACGAAGAGTTGAAGGACTTTTTCACACATGAATTGTCACCATTTCCCATGTCATTATTTAATGAAGATGGAATCAGGAAGGGTACAAAGTCATCATTCTACACAGCCTTTAATCCTGTGAGTCTAAATGTGAATCAACAGACGAATTATATGCACGTAGTTGTAGACGGTGGAAATCTGCTCCACAAAGTAGTGTGGCCTCGTAATGCGTCTTTTGGAGAAATTGGTTCCAGATATGTCCAATACTTGCAAAATTACTACGGCTTAAATATAACTGTAGTTTTCGATGGCCGTCCGTCTGACGCCTCAGACAAAAATACCAAGAGCACTGAACGTCTGCGTAGAGCTCTAGCAATGTCTTCTCCTGATGTTATATTCGATGATTCAACCATTGCTCTAGTTGCTCAGGACAAGTTCCTATTGAATGACAGGAATAAAGTCAGACTCATCGATAGGCTGAAGGTTCACCTAGAGAAGAACAAAATTCTAACATTACAGGCAGAGGAAGATGCTAATAGGTTAATAGTAACCACAGCCATTTCCATATCTTCTTCCTACGAAATAGTGATGACCGTCGGCGAGGATATAGATTTGTAGGTCTTAATTTGTGGTTTGTCACGAGATGGAGGAAACCATAAACTTCCAACAAATTGACCAAATAACAATAATATATTTGTAAAATGTGGGAGAGGAAAAAACCCAGATGTCACCTACTCTACAAATTATTACAACCCGAAATAGCTCTGTTTCTTTTCGCGTTTAGCGATTATGATACACTTTTGGCCAAGGAACAACGAAATTTCTATCGACAATAAAAAACAGCCACGCCTCGAACAAAACGCAGAGGCTTTCTTAAGCTTCAATGCCACACCTGAGCAAGTTGCCGACGCAGGAGAGACCTTCCTCGTTTCACTTTATGGAGGCAACAGATAATCGCAAAACCTTAGCGATCTTCGCTTCCAGTTGTTCACTAGGGCGGCAATTAAGCTCAACATAAACCTCGCCAGATTGCCTCCAACCAGGGATGCTGCAAGATTTCACTCTCTGCGAACTTACCACCAGGTGAGAATAAGTTTTTTGCTTGTGTGTGTGTGTCTCTCTCTCTCTTTCTCTCTCTCTCTTTCTCTCTCTCTCCATCTCTCTCTCTGTATCCACCATAACTCATGAACCGATACAAAGAAAAACACCAAATTTAAAACTTAAGCTTTTTTCCGACGTCCAATGAACTGATTAGATTTTAGGCAGAGTCGGAACATCTGGGGGGGTACTTTATAAGTGGTCATTTTTATATTTTATGGAATATATCTGTTATTTACATTTGGAAAAGAAAATTCTTTAAATAAAAGTTACAATATTTTTATCAAAATGTAAAAAAATAATTTTTCATAAAAGTTGTTCAAATAAAAGTTGTTTGTAATATAATTCTCTATAATTTTTATTCTATACATAATTTCTCTAAAATGTACCGTATTCGAGATATTTAAGAAAATGTGTAAATTTCGAATTTTGACGAAAACTCAAAAACATTAAATTTTAAAGTTAAGTTTTATTTCGGCCTGAGGTAAAATGATTAGATTTTGGACAAAGCCGGATAATCGGGGGGGGGGGGGGTACTTTATGGGTTGCCGTTTTTATATTTTATGGAATATATATTATAGAAAAATGTGTCGAGTTAGATGTATTATAAAAGTGCTGCAATAGGTTGTACAAAATAACCGGAAAAAGCCTATAATAACTAGATAGGAAAGTCATGTGTTGGACACATCAGATTTTTTATGTTGATATAATCAAAACGGATATTAATTTAACTAAAACAATTTATCTGAAATCCTAGAAACAGAGAGATAATAAGATAAACTTCTGCGCTCCTGTGAAAAGCTTTGCTCTTCGCACAATCTATTATACTGTATTTAGTGCTTATTATTTCTTCATTTTAACCTCGCATCATTTTGAGTTAGGTATGTTTTCAGGGATATTAAAGAAACAAATGTTAACTATTAAAGATATGTTTCTATACAAACTAAGCACAAAATGATAATTTAAAAATTCCTTACCACAAAAATTAAAAATTCGCATATACAATTCGTGGTTACTTCCAATGTTAACTGTCCAACATCTCCATAAATTAAAACGGTATTCAGTGACACCAAAATTATTAAAACCGTTGAAATATTTATAAGTAGTATCACGAATCCAAACACTTTATTAAATATTTCGCCGCATTCAAATAGTATGTTCAGAATTTTCGATGCTTCTAGTAATTTAGAGAAAGTGTTATCTTCTATTATATATATCGTTTGTCCTATTCTTGCTCCTTGGAAACTACCATGATTGTTAGCAATATTCAACGACTGCAGAAGATAGTTTCGTAATGCTTTAAAATTATTCTGCAGCATTAAAGCAATATTATAAATTATAATTGTATTCAGAAATACGTAATAAAACATTACTCCTTTTACAAAAGTTGCTACAACATACTTGAACTGATCTGTTGTATTACAGCTACCAAAAAAGTTCCTAAAATTGAAAATACATTAATCAAAAATACAGAAATTTATATTCAAAGTGATTTTTAATTTGCATATATCAGTAATGAAGCTTGAAAACTACTTGCCTGTACTGGTCCACAGCAGCTACAAAAATAAAAAATATATGACCCAATATAATTTCAAGAACAAAGTAAAATTTATTTCTCCAAAAAGTGTCGATTTCCATCTTTCTTGTAACAATGTTTTGCAATTTCATGAATTGCGACCAATTTCCTTCGTTCCAAAAAGTTTTTCCCGTTATTGTAGTAATGCATATTAATGTTACAGCGATGTTTACTAACCGTATCAATATTACATTGGATGTTCTTGTTGTTTTATTAATTATTTGTGTTTCAAACCACTGGAGATATGCGTATCCAGATAATATAAGTAACGATAGAAAAATTGTATAACACTGTTTCAAAATAACATAACGTTGATTACATGTAGCACTCTGATTTGCGTACGGCAGAAATAGTCCAAAAATTTCTAATAAACAAGAAAAACAAAACAGAATTTTTTTATACCAAATTGGTAAAAGCATTGTAATAGGAACTTCTTAATGTGGGTCGGGGTTGTATCTATCTGTCCAATCGAAATATTGCGTGTTACTTCTAATGTGATACAATACATTTTGGAATATTATCTAAGTTACGATAAATGACTATAAAACAATATGTGGTTTTGTAAGATTAATTGAATATGATAGAGTTTGACAACATATAATCATGAAATAGGGTGGCACGCAATATAAAACGAATATTTGTACTTCTTTAAGAGCAAACCGAATATCTTCAAAATTTACGCGCCATTCTTATTAAATCTATGAACATTTTTTGCTTTTTGTTTTAATAAATATAAATAATATATAAATATAAATTAATAAATATCAAATAATTTTTTGCCATCTTTAAAATGAAATAAAACTCAAAAATTTAGAAAAAATTATATTTTAACTTTAGCGATAGAAAATATTAAATATTTCATTAAGTATAAAAAATAATATCATTTAAATAGCCGCCCCTAGACCTTCTGCAAGAGTCGATCCTTTTTAGATAATTTTCGATGACTTTTTCAAACATTTCGGGTGGATGTTGGCAATATTGTTTTTCAGATAAACTAACGTTTCGGGTTGATTGGTTATGGTCCCTAGGCTTCAGCTCTTGTGTTCGCTGAATTTTATATGGGTGTAAATGCAAATCCTGATGTAAAATGCGCCAAAGGGAGCCATAAGAAAAGCCTAAAACTTGCGAGCGCCGGCGAATCGACATTCTTGGGTTGGCAGCCAGGCTTTCACTAACTGCAGCAATATTTTCAGCTGAACGTGCACGACGATGATTCACAGACCTTCTCATATCTGCAACACTTCCAGTATCTTCAAATTTGTTGTTGCCTAAAAAAATACGGTCACGGCCATTTTTTGCTTTCTTTTCTGTGTACAGATGAAGAAAGTATAGGAATCACGATAAAAGTTGCTTATGATGTCATTCTCTATTATTTTGTCCCTATACATGATTTTCCTAAAATGGACCTAATTCGAGATATTTAAGAAAAATAGCAAATTTCGAATTTTGAAGACAACTCAAAAACGGATAAAGAGAAAAACACCAAATTTTAAACTTAGGCTTTGATCTATCCTGAGGTGAGCTGATTAAAGTTTGGTCATATTCGAAGTATCTGGGAAATACTTTACAGGGTGTTGTTTTTTTATTTTTAGAAAATAAATACTCTGGACCGTATTTTCTTAGGCAACCCTTTTGCGATATATTTATAAACATATTTTATTTAATAAAAATAAACTTTCATCCGGTAAACAGATGGGTGAAGATCGACCTTATTTCGGATCTTAGACTATATGTGAAACCCTCTATAATACAATTTAAAATTATAAATAAAATTCCTTGCCCAAAATAATAATCTTTGGCAACAATTTATAAACAGACTGTGAAATTATTACCGAAAAAATTAAAGAATTATTTCAAATTTGACACCCTCTGTACTTTTAAATTTTCAGTATTTTATCAAAGGAAGTTGAATCAGATCGTAATATTTCGAAGCCAGCACTATCATTAGGCTATGGGCCATTAATTACGGACCATCCAGTATTTATTTGATAATAATAACATATAGGTATGGCTACTGGTGAATCAACCCGTAAAAAATTGTAACGTGCCACGGTATAATATCTCAAAGGTGGTGTGGAAACGGACCAACAATAATTACAGACCTCATTTCAAATTTTAAAATAGTGTTTGTATTAAACTAAAATGCATATTATTATTTGTCGTATACCTACCTACTTTCTTGAAAACATTAAAATTGCCCGCCACTGGAAACATTTCCTTCTGCCCCAGTAAGCAAATGTCAACTTTTATTTCGTCTATATACTCCCATCTATTTTAAACTAGCAAAAGTTCCAACCTTAGAACACTAATGAACTTGAGTAATTCATTGTAGAATCATTGTCACCATCTAGCATCCATCTAGGCATTGTATAAAGTTCTTTATACAATGATCCTAGGGGTGATATCCTTTTGGCGCATGAAACAAATAAATGCTTTGCACTGGCCTACTAGGTCTATTTATATACAATACCTTTTTTCAGACTATGTAATTCAGAAACACCTTGTAAACTTTAAATAAGACATTTTATATTTAAATTTAATATGATTTTACTCAACAACTTTTATGTATGTAAAATATTTGGTGAGTTCGGTCTACGCACTCTTTTCACTATATTCACTCCTAAAGTACCTAAGGCGTTCGGGTACGGAAGGAGTTAAAATAAAAGTTCCTCTTTGACCGTTCGGAGATGGTGGAGTGGAGTGTGGATCGGGCATGCGCATAAGGTGATTTAAATTGATTCTTTCTTTAGTAAATAATTTTTTTTTTGGTTCCCGTGAATATCATTAATATGGAAGAAACTTATACGGTCGTTACTGACAAGTACAATTAAATTTTATGTACTGGTATGTCACATTGACAATTGACATTGCACTCCGAGAGTTAAAGGAGTAAATTCATATTCGCACTCCGTTTACGCCTAATTACTACACTCCACTCTGGAGTGCGCAGCCCGAACTCACCTATTATACCAAGCCGTATTTTTAAATTTACTACATTACCGCATTTTAATAATGCTAATAGAATACTGTTTAGTAAGGCAGTGTGTCCATTAAAGCTTTACCTACTCTCTCTTAGATGGCGCACAAGATGGAAAATGTATATTAAATATTTTTAGTTTGTTTTCCAAGGTTTTAATGCTTAAAACTTTTAAAATAAATGAAAATGACGTTTATTACATAGGTATTCAAAATGTTAATCTTTCAGTTCAAAACAAACTTTTTAAATTTGAATAAAACAAATGCTATTTAGGGACTTTTTTGGTGCTACAATCTGTCAAAAAAAGCGGTTGGCGTTGGCATGCTTGGGATAGCTTTTCGTGAGTGCGGTGTTGTGTATAAAGGTGTAAAAATTGGAAAAGCGAATTAACTGTACATATCTGTATTATCTATATTAATTTAGGATTAGATGAAGGTAAGTTATTTAGTATAGTCATTTTTTTAAATACCCCAAATAAAGTAGCCCGTAAAATACGTCATCACTGTCATAATATAACTTAATAACCAATAATGTTGATGACTTCTTTTTTAAGATCTTTCCAAACCAGTACGTCACGATGTTTGTTCACATAATGTGATACAAATAGCTATTTTCAGCGAGGCTGAATAATCTAGCGAGCTAAATATTGCGATTTTTTTATTATCCAACTAGATCCCTTCTGGCTCTGGTAACCATTTGTTTACAGGGTCATCTAGAGTTCTTTGAACTCTTACTCTTCATTCAAAATCGAACCTCTGTATATTGCAAAATGGTTTGCCAATCGCTAAATGTTTAGAAAGAAAGAACAATCTTTTGCACACATTATGCTCTATTTGTTTTAATTTTTAAAGCTTTCACATATTGCCAAATTATTCAAGTTTGTCTTTGTGTACACAAGGTGGCTGTGGAATAAGAACTTTTGATCTTAGTTTTGGAGGTAAATACATATTACTGTTATGTTGTTTTATTACATTTAATTAAACAAGAAGAGTGCATTGCTTTTCCAATTTTAATTTCATAGTTAAATCCTGAAATTAGTAGTCATTCAATAAAATTTATAAGTTGTAAGTGTAAATAATCTAGAATTTTATTTTTTTTAACTATTTCCAATTTCACAGCAAATTTTTGATTAACATTGATCTCAGTATCTTTTTGCATCTAAAATTCAAAATTATTGTGAAATTTTCAAAATATTTGCCAGAATGTGTTCAACAGTAAACTTCTTTTACTCACAATTGGTTAGTAATCTGTAGATTTAAACTCTTCAAAACAGTCGGGAAGCGACCTATTACTTACTTTAACCAGGAAGTAACTTTCCCGGCTAGCATGTGTCACTTTCCCAGCTAGCAAATGTCACTTACTATATGTTTCGTTAGTGATTTTGTATCTCTTCCTGCTTTTTTCCGGAATCATACCTTAGGTAGCTTATTCTGCAGCTATTCGTAATTCTGGTGGGGTATATTAAAGTTAACTGTCGGACATATTTGTAAGTATAAAAAACAATTTTATTATTAAAAGTGCCATTCAATATGTAATTAGCAAAATAATTACCCAACTGTCAGATTCAACCAACTTATTATTTTGCCTAGCAATGGTGTCACAGGTATCTTTGTTCAAAAAAATATATATTAAATTGATAGAAATTAATACCAATATATTATTATTTGAAACATATAAAATAATAGCAGATTGTGAGCAAAATCGTATAGATATTTGGGGGAACTCATTCTAACCTCGCTTTTGTATCTTACCTTCGCACCTTGGTA